ACATGCCAGCATATAATACTACTATCCCACCCCTCACCCCATGAAACCCGCGGCTTTGCCACCCAAATACCATTGCGGTACATTATCTCAGTCGAAAATCCGCGAAACCCCAGAATCCCAAACCCTACTCCCACCCAAAAGACAAGAGTAAAAGAACCCTCCCAAAATCCCAACCTCAAATCCTAAGTCCTAATTACTAATACCCTCAACCAAGTACCGTCAACGCGTAAACTTCGAAGGTAGGGCCAGAACAATTAGAAAATGCTCTTGGCGCGTATTATGCTACAATGAGAAAAACCATCATCAGGGACAACCCGAAACCCTTAACTCTAAACCTCAAACCCTAGACCCTAAACCCTAAACCCGAATATTGGCGTCCCCTTCTTTAAGGGAACTGAGACTGACAGCCTGGCCTGGGGGTCCTCTGCCGAGGCAGGGCGCTGCCAAGGGACGACGCAAGCGACGCGCCCCGAGGCCGCCTCAATACACCTGGGGCTTTGGTTGAGAGGGCTTCGATTGAAAGGGCTTAAGGTTCAAGGTTTAGGGTTTAAGGTTTAGGGTTTAAGGTTTAGGGTTTGAGGTTTAGGGTTTAAGGTTCAGGGTTCAAGGTTGAAGGATTAGGGTTTAAGGTTTTGGGTTATAGGGTCTGAGGTTTTGCATTTAAGGCTTGGTGTTTGCGGTTTGCGGGCTTAAGCATGAAGATGGTGTTGTTACGAATGCTAGAACCAGTAGTACTGGTATGCTTATGAATAGTGGTAAAAGTAGTGGTAGCAGCAGCAGTATCAAGTTGCTTGCTATCCAAACTTTTATTGTCAGATTTTGGGCCGAAAGATTAATGAAAATGGAAATCTTACTAATAAATTGGTTCCACTAGCACTACTACTTCTGGTACTGCAAGTTTGACTGGTAATTCTGGCAGTAGAAGCATCATTCTTTCAACGGTATGAAGACGTGTATAGTATTTCTTATCAGGGTTTTCGGGTTAGCGTTCAGGGCTCATGGTTCGGGGTTTGGCATGCAGCCTTGGGCAGGTTCCAGCTAGAGGATCTATCTGTATGTTTAAGCAGACAGGGGGGTTATTCAAGGAATACGGGGTCATTGCTGATTTAACTGCTTGTGGAGACATGTAGGCATACATTGGGACATGTGTAGTTTTGGCCTAGGGACTTTCAAATCAAGGGTCTCAGGCTCTGTTTAGTCCCCTCCCTGAATCAACCTCCCCACGTTCCTAAGATGGTGGATACTAGAAATCCTGCATGACCCGCAGTACCCTAAACCTTGGGAATTATGGTGCAAAAGTATAAGGTCATGCAGGAGTTTTAGTATCAGCAATAGTAAATACCCCCAATGTAATACCGCCATCTTTGAGGGGGGTCTATGAGGGGCAAGGGATTAATTACAAGATGTCAAGAATATACTCTAATATACCATAATAGACCATAATAATAAACTATGATATACCATAATATACTATAATATACAAGAGCATGCCAACTGTCCCAGGAGTCCCAGGGGGTGGGGCGTGACTTTGGTTGGCTTCGCACTTGACTAGACCAAAAAGCACGACGCCTTTGTAATGGGAAGCCGTTTCTCTGTACACATCTGAAAAATACTCAAGCAAGTCGGCATAAGCAGCCTATGTCATTCATATAGACTTACATCTGCCGTACTTATATCCCGAATTTGCTTGCTAAACCCTCCCAACGACAGCACATCCACAGCAGGAAATCGTTCCTGGAAGACAGGGTTAAATTTATGCCCATTATGTTTCACAAGTCTCTCTCCCTCTCTCTCTCTCTGCCTCTCTCTATATATGTATATATATATACTTATGTATACATGCATATGTCATATATGCAGACACATACTGGTAAGTGAGCTTGGGCTTCGTAACAGCAATCCAGTGATTCCTGAAAGAGTTCCTCCCATGGCCAAGGCACTCTAAGAGCGCCGAACAGGTCTGGTTCCAGTCCGTCGGCCGGTAGCGCTGCAACTCCACGCTAAAGCCTGTCATTCATTTGAGGATTTGGGTTATCCCAACCCCTAAAAGGGGGACCCCAGGACTATGAGATAACTCTTTAAGGGTGCTGCTTTCAGTTTAGGAGTTGGGCCTACCAAAGATGAGTCATGTTCAGAGGAAGGATCCCACTTATATTACATAGGGAATGGTGGAATGGATTCTCCAGGGATGCTTCTGTGGATTCCATCTGGCATTTCCCAGCTAGCGCGGGCTGGACCTGGGTTTGAGCCTTTTGTAATAGGTATACTCATAACCTCTGGAAGCCATACAGCCACCCCAGTTATCAACCTACTTACTGATTTTGCAGGATTGCCCAGGGATCTCTACATAGCGCAAGCTGGCAGAAGCCAAGCAGGTGAGAGAGGGTTTGACAAGATGTGGGTATAGTCTAAAACCCTAGTATCCCCCTAAATAAACCCAATACTATTCCCCTATATATGTATATATAATACCCCCTTATATAGTCTCTTTAAGGAGTTTAGACTATACCTCATGTGGGTATAGTCAGGGATCCTAGTGTCAGACCCCTGATTACTAAACCCCCTCCTTTTAAGAGCCTTACTATTGGGATCCCTATTATAATCCCTATTAAGGGGAGGGGGTTTACTAATTATGGGTCTACATTAGGGCTCATCTTTCAAAATCTGAGTTGCAACCAAACTAGGTAGGTATATAGTCCCCCTTAAGTAGATAGAATATGGGGTATATGGGGGATCTTATTAAATTTTAGAATATACCCAAGGCCATCTATCTACTAAAGGGGGACTATATATCAGTAGTTCTAGGAGAGTATTGGACATTACCTGGACATAACTTAGGATGTTCCCTACCCAGCCTTCAAGCGCGAGCAGAAAATTGTGAAGCTTCTCGTCGCTTTCCGTCTCCGCGCTAGGCCCCGAAATCACCCGGCGCGTCAGGAAGTCCTGTTTGGGCTACCTGGACCTCCTAAATACCCATGACTACAGTCCTGAAACCCAAAACATGGGGTTGGGAAGTCTAAGTCATTTATGGCAAGAAAATGAAAGTTTCGACATGGTAGCGGGATGAATTCAGGCTCAAGATCCACCCGGTTCTAGGCTGTAGGTGTATAACGTCTGCCGACCATGCCCCTGAAGATGGCAGGGTAGATTCCAACCCTACTGGGAGTTGGGACGCGTACTTGGGATCCAGGGAAGATGGCAAACCCTGAACCCGAAACCCTAAAATGCCTTCCAGGTTTTGGGATTCAACTCAAAAACCCTGAAGTGCTGCCTACGCGGACCTCAGCATAGTTGGGGATCACAGCATTTCTCAAACCCTCTTCTCACATAGACGCCCATACAAAGGGATCCATGAATACTGAGAGCCCAGCAGAAGGAGCCACAATGTTGAGAGCCCATGCCTTGCTGATGATAAACCCCGAACCCTACCCATAGAACCCTCTATACCCCTACATAACCCTGTATGCCGTCATGCTTCAAAAGCCCTAAACTCTAAACCAAAGTAACCCTTAACGCGGATGAATCCTTATCCGAGCTGGAGGCGGCAACCAGAGACTTCTGCACCTTGTGCTGTCATGCTTAGGTCGGCTATATGTGTTCGAATGACAGCCTGAAAGCTTGGAGTGATAATTACATAGTAATAGCAGTAGTACTAGTAACACTAAAAGAATACTATAATCAGAGTAGTCTACATAGTAATAGCATGTATACTTGCAATACCAAAACAGTAGCATAGTCAGAGTAGTCTACATAGTAATAGCAACTAGGATCTGCAAGGACTGAAGGAGAATAATGTCTGCGAACGCAAAAGATGTTTGTCAAAATACCACATCCCTGTTTTGGAGGCTTTCTACCTAAACCCTAAAACCCTAGAGAAGGCGGAGTACATAGGCGAACCCTGACTTTGTTGATGCCCATGTTCCTACGCATGCGTGGTTGCTCATATGGAAGACACCAAGGTGAAACCAAATAATCATGTAGCTATATTGTTCTCAACAGCTAGCATACCCAGAGAGCAGGACATAATCGTACTCTATGTATTCGGGACCACGGTATCCCCAAGTAGAATAGAATGCCACTCAAATTCACATGCTGCAGCAAACCGGAAGTCCATCCTCCGGCTATTCTCCCCCAAAAAAACCCCCTCTAGGTACCATCAAATGGTGTTTCGGGTTTAAGGATTCTAGGGTGTAATTATAGGTTGCGGCAATACCAGGAATCTAAGATGGACCACTATCCTCAATAGTGGAGAATCACATGAGAAAGAAAGTGGACAACTGGGATGATATTTTGCGGTGTAGAGCTTAGTGTCGAGGGTAGGTACTAGGCCCCTTAAGTACCCTCAAGAAGGATCTATGTAATTAAACTATTTGTGGCAAGAGTTTTAGCGGGGCTTCAAAGTGCAAATTTCTACAACATCTGGAGCCCGAAGCAGTAGAAAGCATAGGAATTCCCTATGTAAAGATGCCACGCTTATTTGGGAAGCTCAAATTCGTTATTACTGCTAAGAGAGAGATTCCTGCTATTGGAATCTTCCTGTTATCATCCTTGCTATCTGCTAGCATTAGTGCCAAAGCTTGTAATCTAGGCCAAAGTGGGCTCTTCCATATCAGAGGCTCCTTTCAAGCACTCCTTTCTGCACGGCGCTCTGGAAAAATACATCCCTAATAATACCTTGGGTAAACTTGCATTCTGCGTAATCACTTTAACGGTCTTGTTCAAACCTCCCAGGCCACCGAAACCCTGCAACAGAAGCACTACTTGAAAAACCCACATCCAACAACCGTACATCCGAAAAAGACGACGCACGCCAACCAAAAAAAAAACATGAACCTCGCAAGAGTCTGCAGGCCCTATGCCAGGGATCAAGTAACCCAGAATTGACACCATTTATAGCCTTCGAGGCCAGAAGTCGATTTAAGGGCCAAACTAAGTGTCGTTTGTAGACTTTCGGGCCCAAAATAGGTGCTATTATTCATAAGACCTATAGACCCCCAAGGCTAGGAGAAGCCCTTCCCAGCCTCCTCGAAGTCCCGTTTCAGCTCCTGAAGGCGGCTCCTAAACGCCGCGGCCTCTTCCTGGGGTGTTAATCCGTAGGGTGAGTAGGGTTTAGGGTTTAGGGTTTATAGGGTTTAGGTGTAGGGTGGTTAGTAAGGGGGGTATGATGCGTGGCTGTCTTCTGGAGGGTTTAAAAACCTTTTCGATTTTGAGCGTCGTAGAAAAATCACCGAATTTCACAAGCATAGGGAAACTTGGCTGCGGAGGGCTCTTAGGAAGGAGGCACATTTTGCACCACCTGGAGACAATGTACTATAAAAACTACAACACTCTGCAATACCCTCCCCCAAACTAACACAGAATCCTGAAATGGAGCCCTTTGTACACTACTGCCCTTTCAAGAAGGGATTCTATGGGGTTCCTTGATAGGGTAGTTTCCCTAAACAAGGGGACCCCAATATAGACCCCAATATATTGTAATCTTTGTTATGGGGACCCCTAAAATGGTACCCCTCATTTTGGGAAACCCCCATACATTGGGGACAGCAGCTAAATCAGCCACAGGTGCCCCCTCCTCGCCCTTGTCAGCCTCAGCCTCTCCTCCGAAGTAGTGGCGGAAGAAGAGGGTTTAGGGTTTAGGGTTTAAGGTTTAGGCTTTCGGGCGTATAAGAGTTTAGCTGGACCTCAAAAGTATATCAAATAAAGGTCCAAAACCACTAAAAATGGTCAATGAAACACATTCTTCTACATATAACTACATACTTTGGAGATCCAGGGAGGGCTCAGGGTTTTGGTGCTCCTGCGAATTGGTGGGGGAGGAGCTCCCGGATGATCCCGGACTGGCTCGGAGCGCGCAAGGCACACAAGGTGACCAGCCGAGGCAAGATCCTCAGTTTTGGGCTTAGGGTTCAAAGGGTTTAGAATTTTTAGAGTTTTGGGTTTTGGGTTTGTAGGGTCTTAGGGGTAGCACCAAGAATAGTAACAATAACAATGCCAGCAGCAATTTCAATAATGATCGCACAAATTCTCGAAGAAGCGCTCCGGGATCCTAGGAATAAAAAGATTGCAAAAGGAGTGGATCGGAGCAGGGCCAATTTTCAAAATTGCCCACTTTGCGAAAGCTGTTGCTTGCCATCTTTTGCGTTGAGGAATCTTCTCCAAACCATGGCATCCAGTTTAGGACCGAGAAGAGATTGACTCCCCAATATGAAGATGGGGACGGGCTAGAGGGCTGCCCTGACGCAGGTTTCCATACATCGTAAACACCCTCGACTGCGCTCCACCTAGTAGCCAAGCCTATATAAAAGCCTCTAGCCTTTGTCACAAAGTTGTGAAGATTACCGCGGATGCTTGAAGACTTTTGACTTCCCCCATTCCCTTCCAAACCAGACGCTTCGAGTGTTTGCGACTTTCCGGACGAGAACCGGGGGCAACTTTGTTGAGACTCGTCTAGGTTTTGTACGGCCACCGCTGCAGACGCCACGCAGCTTTGATGAATTCCTAGTGCTGTAAACCTCAAAGTGTAGTTTTTTGGTTGGGTCCTGCAACACGTAAGCTGAAGTCTGCGTGCCGCAATCCCTTCTTACCCCATACTTCCTCATGAGCCCCTCCAACAAAGTAAACCCTGCTACAATCCCAACGCAAGGCCCTATGATTCCCTGAACCCCGATTTGCCATAAACTCTGCAAAGCCATTTATCCTACAGCTCTGTGCTCAATGCTAGCCGGCCCTGCCAACCTAAATCACATGTGCCTCTAGACCTCGCTTTATTCCTATTAACCATCCATACAGTAGAAGACAGTAGAAGCTAGAAAGTCTAAATGTCAATATTTGCTACCCCAGGAGTCTAAGCATCCTGTTTCCCTGTTCAAAGGTCTGTACTGTATGTGCCTAGCGTGTCTAAGCCTTTGTCCCAGGCGCAGGAAAAGCTCTGCATCCCGGGTGTCGATGAGGCGCGGTAGCTCTGGGGCGAGACGTTGGGCGTCCTGAGGTAACTAAGTGACAACCAGGTCACGTCCCATAGCCCCTCAAAATTCACAATTGTACTGTTTCATGAGGGGGTGCAGGCTTTGGTTAGGGTTTAGGATGTACGAATGTTGTATAGTGCGGGTTTTAAGGCTCTTTGCCTTCGTCGCGCTGCTTTTTTTACAGGTTCAAGTTTAGGGTTTGGGGTGCAAAAGTGTAGTGTTCAGGGTTTAGGGATTTTAGGCGTTGGAGCCTGGCGTCGTTCAGAATGACAGCTGATACGGGGCCGTGTATGCAGGGCACCACGGGTTCTTACGGGCTCAATGATTCGGGCTTCACTGGAAACTCTCAAAATCATACGTCCGTGTATCTAAGTGCCTATAACGCGCGAATGTAAGCCCTGTTATGTCAGGGTTTGCTGTTACGGTTGCAGATCTCATGGCGCTTAGGGATACATAGTTTCAGTATTACACGGGGAAGGAGGATGTGATTCGGAAAGGCGTTCATGGTGCGAGCAGTGGAAGAGATGTTGGGCACTTAAGCTTTGAGGAAATGAAAAAGAGAGCTGGGGTAAATCACTAACTTGGAGCTTCATCTTCTGGATTGGGCTTGCGGCGCAGGACTTCCAAGCTGCGCAAGTGGCTCCTTTGAAAGCAACATGGGCTTTTCTGAAAATTATGAGCCCCTCCTGCTCATAGATTAAATTACGGCACCCAATATCTAGGGATACCAAAATTGGACCCTTTTTGTGTGAGCTACAAACATGATGCAATGCCCCACACAGGCCCCGCAAAAGAGTCTCATAATGCTGAGATGCCCCTACGTTGTCCATACTGACTTCATGCAGAGGCCTGGTCTAGGGCCTCAAGCCTGAGGTCATGTAGGTTGCTTTGTAAAGCCTGGAAAAGACCTCATAAGGAAAGGTGGGCCGTGGCAACACATAGAATTAGGAAAAGAAGCTCAACAGCCTTGAGAAGAACTCCCGCCAACGCAAAGATCTGCCGCGCGGCCAAGGTCATCGCTGCGCAGTTGCTGAAGGACTGCAAAACATCTTGCTTCAAGAGAGAGCGATTGCCTGGTGGTGTTTTTGTACTTCAGCTTGTTTGGGGAGGACATTGGGCAGAGAAGCACTGATGATACCTGTGCAAATGCTACGGGGGACCTATGTTGAGCTATCAGAGTGTAGCGAAAGTCTGCTGCAGCCTTTTTCCAGTGGTGCATTCTCGGAAAATGTTTCAGGCAATGGCCCTTGCAACAAGACATGACACTGCACAAATAAGCTGCACAAGGGAATCTCAGGGAAAAAGCGTGGGCAATCACATGGTCTGCCCAGAGTCTTGGCTGCAATTTCCGGGTGGATCAGGAAACGATTCTGTCATTTTGCGCAAACAAAAAACCAAATGTTGGAAAAGGCCCTTGGTCTGGACCCCTTAGGCAAGACCTTTTTGTATGCTAAGGCTGGCCCATGCACCTTTGTATTGTTGTCCTGGTAGGATCCCATGCCAAGTAATCGTAGCGGTAGTAGTAAGATGAGGCCGTGGAGTCGGGGAGTGACAACAGCAGCAACCATAGTCCTTTCATACGCACGAGCTTTTAAGCAACAGCACGGTCAAGGATAGAGCTCCAAGACTAGGGTGGCCATGAAGCCATCACAAGCACCATCTACAAATGAAAGCAGCTACGCCTCAACCGGGGCAACGCCCCTCTGCACCACAATGACAAAAGGAGGATCCTCGCCAGAAAGACACTGAAAATTGATAGGGGCGTATATATTTGTCTGTGTAGCCGCTAATGGTGATATCCACAATGACTATGTGATACTTTCCTAATCCCACACCTCCATGTAAAGATAGCGCTCCTGCAGCCTTAGACCTGAAAAGCCCTTGACGAAAGGGTTTAGGGGTCGGGCGGCTACAAATCGCTGGTGAACATCATGGAGAATCAAATGCGCGGATTGCAACAATGCAATTTACACTGGCATGAGATCAGTCGTATATGATCACACCCTGCGCGCCATTGCATAACCTGCACCTCAATTCTGGGGGGGCCCTATACTAAAGATTATAGCGTATTAACGGTCCATCTATCTAGGGCCTCCTCTGAACCCTAAATCCTTAACCCTAAACCCTGAACAGCAGTTTCCATTTTCTTTTCCATTATCCCTATATAAACCCAATATATACCCTATTATACTATATTTTTTCCATTTTCTTTTCCATTATCCCAATACAACCCCAATGTATACCCTATAATCCTTATATAGTCCCTATATAATCCCTATAATCCTTGTAGTTTCCATTGTCTGTTCCACTAGTCCCCCTAAACCCTAAACTCTAAACCTTAAACCCTAAACCCTAAACCCCAAACCCTAAACCCTAATCCCTAAACCCTAAATCCCTAAGCCCCAAACGCCGCCAAGAGGCCTAGTTCCCAGGCAACCTCCCAAGCCGAGAGAGCATCCACCAGCTTCCGATTATTGCAGAGTTGGGGGTCCACCTCCCAAGAGGTTTAGGGTTTTGGGTTTAGGGTTTAGGGGGTAGGGTTTAGGGATTAGGGTTTCGGGATTAGGGTTTAGGGATTAGGGTTTAGGGGGTAGGGTTTAGGGATTAGGGTTTAGGGAGTAGGGTTTAGGGATTAGGGTTTAGGGATTAGGGTTTATAGGGATTAGGGATCAAGGTTTAGGGTTTAGGGTTGGGGTTTAAGGCTAAGGGGTTCAAATAGCCCACTGTATTACCCTAAGAAGGGAGAATCAAATGGAAAAGCAGATGGACAAGTAAATGGAAACTAGCAATTGATAGGGGCGTATAGGGATCCCAATAACCCAATCTAGATAACAGTTACAGACTTTCGAGCCCAATGTAGGTATCATTTGTATACGCAGATCCCTAGGGATAGGTTTTAGGGTTTAGGCTTTACACGGTTTAAGGTGTAGGGTAGCTTAACCCCAGAGATTTTGGGCGTGCGTGAGGAATGCAAAAACAGACCACAGCACATGCGACATGCCTCCTTCCAGATGTCGCTGATAGAGCCGAAGTACTTCCGAAGGTCAGCAAAATGTTGCAGCACCCTGCTAGACAGCACGCGCTGAACCTCGCGGTGGTAGGTCCTTAGTTGGAGTGGATCTGTCTCAGCTTGAGCAAAGGGAGGTTCATCTGGGAGCTCAAACACAATTCGAGGGGGCGAATGACCTCATCACTGCAGATACCGCAACGTCTGCTGAGACGTGCTCGCAGCTGTAGCAGCAGCAACTGCGACATGGAACCAGACTACTTCCGCGTAGAATCTTGAAATCCCTAGAAAACCCTAGATGGCACGCACCTGTTTCTTTTTGTTGTCAATGTTGTCTTCCATTTGATTTTCACTATGGCCCCCACACCTCAACCCGTAACAGTCCCCCCTCCCAAAACGAAGAGGGCCTCAACCCTAAACCTTAAACCCATGAACCCTAAACCCTACACCCTAAGCCCTAAATCCTTAACCGGGTCCAGGGTCTCTATCTGATTGCTTGGCTCTCTGGACATGGCGAGAGCCCAACGATCCGCTGCTGCAACCAGGACCTCCACATTCAAGTCATCTCCTGGCTTTCCAGGGGTGGATTTAGGGTTTAGGGTTTAGGGTTTAGGGTTGAGGGGTTTAGGGTTTTAGGGTTTAGGGTTTAGGATTTAGGGTTTAGGATTTAGGGTTTAGGGTTGAAGGTTAAGGGATATTTGCCCCATAATGGAGAATCAACTGGAACAGAACTTGGACAACGAAATGGAAACTGGGGGTTGTATGGGAGATGACCCTGTTGATCCTAAAAAGATCCTGCATGACCTTACTGTACTACATACTGCCAAAATGCCCAAGGTATACAGTACTTAGGGTCATGCAGGATTCGTAGGAAAAGCGAATCTCCGGAGATCTGGGATTCTTCAGAAGGAAAAACCCTAAACCCTAAACCTTACACCCTAAACCCTACACCCTAAACCCTAAATCCTTATGTCGCGAGATTCACATGTGGAGCTTTGAGCTTTGATGGTTCAGCGGCTGAGGAATGAGCCCGTGAACCATGGCACCCCTGGTGTAGGGTTGAAGGTTGAGAGTTTAGGGTTCAAACCCTAAAGCCCTAAACCCTAAACCTTAACCCCTAAACCCTGAACCCTAAACCCTAAACCCCTAAACCCCTAAACCTTAACCCCTAAACCCTAAACCTTAACTCCTAAAGCCCTAAACCCTAAACCTTAACCCCCTAAACCTAAATCCTATAACCCTAAACTGGTGAGCTGCCGTGAATCATTGCTTTACATCTCGTACATCTAGTCACCATGCCGGGAATGAGAAAAATGTCGAATGTTCTGCCAAGTTTCGGCCGCGGCCCACCACGTTGGCACTGTTGTTGAGGCCTGGTCAAAGCCTAAACCCTTAAACCCTGAACCCTAAACCCCCCCAAGTACCCGTACCAGCCGATCTGAACCCAGTTTCAGGTACTGCCTTGGAAATTGTCACTGCAGGCTGGGGGAATGTAACCAGTGCATCTACGGACTCCTAGCTGGGGAGCTGCAGGTGCCAGGGAAAGCAACCTGCAGAAAAGGGCATGAATGTTCTCAACATGATGGGTCCACTCTGGGACTCTGGGGTCCTTAGAACAAGATGGAGGACACAACATGGGACCGTAGGTAATTTAGGTGATCATAGCTGATAGCAACCACGAAAAATTGCCTGACGAGCTTGGCCTCCATCTCACATTATCTTTCAGACAAGTTTTCTAGGGATCCAAGTATACACATAATACCTGCATTGGGCCCTAAACTCTGTAGATATTAGCTAGACGGGGCCATTTTGACCCCTAACGAATACCAGAATGCTGTCTACGGAAGACGGGCTTTGTTGCAAGTCACTCCCCGAGAATACTGTGACCACCAATCCTAGGTGCAGCTTTCTCATGAATCAAAAAGCCGTTCATCTTGGATGAAGAATGGGCCAATGGGGAAGGGGTGAGCTGTTAAGATCCTCATAAGCTTTTTACCAACTGGCGCTGCTTTACCTTGAAAGGCTTTCTCGAAAGTGCAAGTATACGATGCTTCTCGAGCCCTGCAGTGTCAGTGTGATGCGGTAATAAGCAACCTGTTCACTTATGAGTCTTGCTATCTTTGTTCTTAGGTGCGTTGACATCTGCGGCTGCCACTTTGGCTAAAACATGCAAGCCATCAGTCATGGCAGGACAACAGTCTGCTGCTGATCATACCACATTTTCAGGACTTCGAAAGCAATCCAGAGAATCATGAAAATCAGCTACGATCCCTGTAATAAACTGGCTGTCGCGCCTGCCGTCAGCTGAACCAGCTGTTTCAGTACCTGGCGGTCCAATCTCTTAAAATGGATGCTTCCAAACTCAGAGAACCCCCGGATCTATTTGACATGGCAGTGATATGAGAATTGCGATTAATTTATGGGGAGTCCCTACTATAAGGGTCATATGGCCTATAGTTTAAACTTCGAGCATCCCCCTTAATAGCCCCTATAATACTCCCCTATATATAATCCCCTGTATGTTCCCTTATCACCTTCTTTCAGGAGTTTAGACTATGGTTCATCTAGGCGTAAGTTGAAGCAACTCCCAAGAGTTTGCCAGCCCGCAGAGAAATCACCCAAGCTGTGTGATTTGTTTTCTATTGTAGGCCTAGGGTTCTATTTGGGGTAATATGGGGGTTATAGGGATAATGGAAAAGAGAATGGAAGCTACTGCACTCGAAATTGTGCCAGGGGTTTGGCTTTGACTGCCGTGTAATCTCCGGTCATTGCAATTTGGACAGCCTTAGAGATAGGCAGGGCTCCAGCTGTGATTTATCCCACACTGTGCTGAATGCAATCAACATGGCTTGCCAATTTCGGCAGCAGGTTCAAAATTTGCTACACCAGCAAAGCTACAGCCTTGTGTACCTGAACCACGCACAATGTGCCCATAAACCAAAGAGAAACACCGTCGTTTAGCTTTGGAGGGTCGCCCAAAGCACAATCCTATAGCCACGCGACACTAACCGTCACCCCTGGATGCTTCAAACATTGTAGGAGCCCAGTTACCATGTCATTTTCCATTTGCCGGTCCATTAGATACTCCATTATGGGGATGTAACCCTGTCTATTCCCTAGAATAAAGCCCCTATACCCCTTCATATGATCCCTACATGAACCCGTATAGCACCTGTATGATCCCTTACATGTCTTAGGCCCAGCAACTCTACGTCCGAAACACCGTAAGCCAAAACCCTGGACCACAAATCCTAAACCCCTCAAGCCTGAACCCTAAATCCACGATCCAGCCTCGAAGCGCTCGTTATACCTAAGCCGCGTTGTGAGTCTCTTTCAAGCACCACGTCTCTCAAAACTGGGATAACGCAGGTTTGTGGCGTTAAGAATGGTTAAAGGATGTTACCTCGAGAATGGAGAATCAAATGGAAAAGCAAATTGAAAGTGGCATGGCAAGTGGGGTAGTAAGATCAATCTAAGACTGCACGGGAAGAATAACGGGGCTAACGGCTAACAGCAGAAGAAAATACACTAAAACCCTAAACCCTATACCATGGGTTTCTCGCCAAATAAGGGAACCCGAGGTTGGGATCTTAAGGGTTTAGGGTTTAGGGCGGATTCCTGGGAAGGAGTCCATGGAGATTGTTTTGAGAAACTACCACAGCTTCACAAACTTACTGGTTATTAGCATGCAAGGAAGGAATGGATGCTGATAATCTCTACCAATAGTAGTTGCCATTGTCTGCTCCATTCCTTCATTGCCTGATAGCAACCAGCAAGGAAAGCCTAAACCCTGTATGATAGACCTCCCTGTAAATCCCCAATTTCCAGTTGCTTTCCCATGTTGATCATTCTCCATTCTTTGGGAAATACCACTGAACCCTAAACAAGCTCATAATCTGCAAAATCCCAGTTGCCATTGTATTTCAGCTTTCCTTGAACTTAATCTCCATTCCCGGCCCCAAGTTTCCATATTGTCTTCCATCTGCTTCTAAATCACAAGCCCTAAGCCCGAAATCCTAAACCCTAAGCCCTAAACCCTAAAACCCTGAATCCTAAATCCTAGGCCCTTACCAGCAGTTGAAGCCCAAGAGACCTTGTAGGGGACCGGTCCCTTAGGGAGGAGACAAGAACCTCTAACTTCGGCGTGTCGTTATCCTCCAGGCTCCTGAGCTTGGGGGGAGGAGGGGGGCTTGTTTTGAGTGTTTAGGGCTTAGGGTTTAGAATTTAGGGTTTCGGATTTAGGGCTTAGAGATTAGGATTTGCAGTTTGATACTTAGGGTTTAAGGTTCAGAATGTAAAGCAAAAGGAAATAGCTCCGACCGTGACAGCAAAAAACAACCAGACTCCACCACGGTCAGCGGTGGGGTGTCAGGTTGAGGGTTCAAGGGGTTTAGGGTTTACGGTTTCGAAAGATGAGACAAGTAGGGACAGTAGAATGTAGCAAAAAAATCTCTTTTGGGGGTGAAGCAGGGATGGAGGTGTTGGTGCCTTCAGATGGTTGTTGACTAGGATTCCAAGAGTGAGCCGCAGCAATAACAGGACAGCACGCTGATCCTGAGCGTGATGTTTTACTAAGGACCTTTTGAGAAAGTCGATGCCTATGGACAACCCTACGCCCTCAAAGCCCCAATATAACCCCCATATAACCCAAGTAAAAGCCCAATGTAACCCCCATATAACCCAAGTATAACCTCAATATAACCCCAACATAACCCCCAATATAACCCAAGCAGAGTCCAGGATCCTCAGCTTGTGCTCCAGCTGCATTGCGCGGACTACCGGGGCGCGGGCTTCCGCCTCAATCTGGAAGAGCTCCTGGCAGGTTGCGAGAAGGTGGCGGCCCAAGCTTTTTGGTATACCTCCCACATATCATACCATTATAGATCCCCAATGTAACCCCATATAACCCCAATATAACCCCCATATAACCCAAACATGACCCATATATAACCCCAATATAGGGATATTTGTTATATTTTGGGGTTTGAGGAACAAGCAAAAATCTTGCAACATCCTGCAGCTTAAGACGGATTGCTTCACAGAAGCATGCCTCTCCTAAACCCTAAACTAATAGTTTCCATTTGCTTTTCCATTATCCCTATAACCCCCAATATAGCCCGAAAGAATACAGCAGTTTGCATAGTTTCCATTTTCTTTTCCATTATCCCTATATAACGCCAATATAACCCATATAATACAGCAGTTTCCATTTCCTTTTTCATTATCCCTATATACCCCTAAACCCTAAACCCTAAACCCCAAACCTTAAACCCTAAACCCCAAACCCTAAACCCTAACCCTAAATCCCTCCCCTCTCCTCGAAATAGAGCTTCTCAAAGTCCACCCAGGTCCTATCGAAGCGGGCCATCAAAGCTCGCATCTTCTCGAGGTCGGGGATGGCTCCCACCTTACTTGGGGTTTAGGGTATTGGGTTTAGGGGT